CTTTCCTGTATTATAAATTATTGTTTTATTTTTTTACTTTTGTCTGATTATATTAAAAAAGTTATTATTTTTACTAGTCTTTTGCTATTTCTTTTTCCTTCCTCTTATTTGAATTTTGCTATAATTAAAAATTTTATTAATTATTATTATTATTATTATTATTATTATAATTTATTTTATTTCTTACTTATTTCTTTTTGAATAACGATTATTATTTCTTTTTTAGCTTCAAAATATTTTATTTTTTTTATAGTTTTGTACCAAAAGATTTTTTTTAAATTTTTAATTTTTGATAGATCAAAAATTATTTTATGAAGATAATTGAATGTCTAATTTAAAGTTTAGATTATATGAAGAAAAATTTTACAATTGAATAATCAAGATATACAAATAATCTTTTTTAGAAGTCAATTTTTGAAATTTGGTAATCATTCTAATGTAGACTACTGGTTAGGATATTATTTTGTAATTAGAGTAATCTGAGTTTGAAACTAGTGAAGGGAGCTATCCTTTCTAGAGTACTGATCTCATATAGAATACGTGATAATCATTCAAGAGATAAAATATCAGAATGAAAATTTTTTTTACTTTATTTTGTTTATTATTTTATTAGAAAATTACTATGTTTAACCGAAAGGAATTTTCTCCCCTTAGTATTTTTAGAATTAGGGTGCAGCTTTAAAATATATAGAAGTTTTTATATAATATAATATCAATTATTATAAAATGTATCCATGGTGGTTTTGCACCTATTTTTGTGCATATATTCTTGATCACGGGATATATAAACAGTGATCAAAGATGATAATCAGTGATTTTTTTTTTGCATTTGCTTTTTGTTTTGTGCTACGTACTGTTCAACTAATATTTTTTTTTTTAGGTGCAGGTAATTTCATCGCTAGTGTTGTTGATTCTGGTTCGTCATTGTTTTTTCTTCTCTCATTGGCTCTTTTCTTTTCTGGCTTCAAAGAGTCAGTAGCTCTTTTCTCTTTTGGCTTCGAAGAGAACGATATTATTTTTGTCATTCTTGTTTGTGAACACATTCAACTAACCTTTTCTTTTTCCATGTAATGTTTAGAAACGTTAGAGTTGCTGGTCGTCAATTCTTGATTTTGGTAGTTTTCGACTTTGAGTGTTATTATTTTTGTCTTGATTTTGGTTTGTCATTGTTTTTCTTCTTTCAGTAGCTCTTTTCTCTTCTGGCTTCGAAAAGAACAATATTATTTTTGTCATTCTTGTTTGTGAATATATTCAACTAACTTTTTCTTTTTCTAGGTAATATTTAGGATCAGTAGAGTTGCTGGTCGTTGTTTCTTGAATTTGCTAGTTTTCGACTTTGGATATTATTATTTTTGTCTTGATTTTTCATGAATGTGTTCTACTAACGAATGTCTCTTTACTTTTTTGCTGATTTTAGGTTGGTTTCATCATGCTGTTTGTGTTGTTCTGGTGGGTTCATTGTTGGTGTGGTTCTGTAGCTTCCATTGTCGTTGTGAAATCCAATCAGCCACTGACAATCACTTCATAGACACCACATTTCACCAACTGACAAGCTTATTTCACTGACAGTTTATTTTACCCAAGCTCATTTTACAAACAAAGTAATTCTAGTCAATATCATTAGGGTCAGATTAGAATTCGAGTTAAAGTTAGTGTAATTTATAAAAAAAAACTTGTTGACCTTCAGTAAAATAGACTGCCGGTAAAATAAACTTGTCAGTGAAATGTGGTGTCTATGAAGTGATTGTCAGTAAAATAATACAGATCTATTATAGTTAGGGGTTAGGTTAGTCTAGTTATAGTTATAGTTAGAGTTAGTGTGGTTATAGTCATAGTTAGGGTTAGTGTAGTTATAGTTATAATTAAGTAGTTAGATTATACATGATTGAGTATTGTTATACAATTTTTTTTTGTTAAAAATGAAATATAAATAAAAATTATTTGGTAAAAATTATTTTAAAAATTATTTTATGTGATAATATTAATGTATAGATACAAAACTACTATAAGTGCAAATTACCATAGGTGTGTTTTAATAAAAGTGATATAATATATATTTGATATAAAGTTTTGAATTAGTTCTTGCAAGGTTTTCAGGGGTCCTGAGCATTTTTGCTTAAGATACTAGTAAAATACCTAATTCTGTTTACTTAGTATGTTTTTGAGATATAGCACCTCCAAACACCTCTAGAGAAAATCTTCCCCGATTAAGATTAGCAATTTTCATTTATTATTATAATTTATTTATATAGTATTTTAGTTTTTGTAAATTAGTTATTTATATATGATATATATAAAATATGTCTGAGTGAATATTATGGGCTAAAAGTTATATATATTTTTATATATAAATATATTAAACCTCTATAATATTATATAGGATCTTTGCTAGGATTTTTTTTCTAAAAATAGATTTATTATGTTTTTTAATAAAAATCTTGTATAATAATGGCTCATAGAGTTACAAAGATCCCATATATGTTATTTTGAAAAATATACAAAATTATACAGTATAACTTAATATAATAAATTAATTGGGTAGTATTAATGAATATTGTATAATTTAAAATAAATATATAGTTCTTGCTTCACTTTGAACAATTATTAACAACTTCAAATATATCTGTTCTAACTACTTCAAATATTTCTGCTACTTTTTTAGCAATTCCAAATAGTTCTATTCCTTTTACCTAATTACAATACTCTTGTTGTTCCTTTTATAGATTTAACAAATTATTATATACTGTTACAACAACATTATTCTTCTGCACCACTATTTAATTCTTTAGTTTTAAATAGAACTAATAGCAAATATGAAGAAATATATTAAATTTTATTTAAATTTGTAATTTTTATAAAAAATTAATAAAAAATTTTTTTAGATATTTTTTTTAAAATCATCTATTAGTGACAATGATTCAACTTTCACTACTAATAGTAGTCAAAAAAATTTACAAGTTGTAAATAAAATAACAAGTTCATCCAATGCTCAGAAAATAAACCAAATAATCAGTGAACATCATCCAAAGATAACAATTGCTAGTTATTTTTTTTTAGGCTTCATAATATTTTTATTTGTTATGAAAGTTTTAGCACAAAGAGTATAAAGTAATTTGTTGTTGATAGCAAAGATCTATATTGTTAGAAGTATATTTAGTACAAAGTATAAGTGCAAAAGTATAATGATATGATCATAAAAAAAAAAAGATTTAATCACAAAAAAA